GCTGTAGCGCCAGCCTGCTGGGGCCTGGGTCTCCAGGTGGGCACTGCTCCTTCTGGGCATCCAAGCAGAGGCGATCTCCCTCCCTGGCCACCCCCTTGCAGTGCGTACCGTGCCCTGGAGGCACAGACTTGGTTTTTTTCCCAAACTATATACTCTTATAGATAAATATAGAAATGACACAAACCCACTTCAGCCCCCGCTTCCTCCTCCCTATTTCTCAGTCCTTTCCATCATTGTCATCTTCCTCTCTCTCGTCCCCATTGTCATCATCACTGCTCTCTCGAGGGGTCCCACCCCTAAACAGTCTATGCCAGTCTTTCCTCCTCCACTGTCCCCAGCACCCTACTGCCCACATCGGTGTCAGTGTCTTTATCCAGGTGATGAAGGTCGGTGGGACCCCCATCTCCATCGGTGTCCCGAACGGGAACAGGCACGGGGCCACTGGTTGCTCCCTGGCCTAATTGCAGAGCGTGCTGGAGCACTGCAGACTCCCCAGTGCCTACCCCCTGCATAGGGGACTTCTGCCCGTGAATAGTAACTGTGCCGTGCAGGGCTGTGTGGATGCACTAGTGCAATGGGCACGCACACATGCATGCACAGAGCTGTGGACCTTCCTGGGAGCCTGGGTTGCTGCCACCCGGCCTTGGGGCCTTTGGTTTGGGGGTTCTTCCTACCTCTTATTGCAACATGAAGACCCTCCCAGGACAAGAGTTCAGTGTATCCCTCCCCCTGCACAAAACCCCCAGCTCTTCTCTGCCATGCAGCAGCTCCAGGAGCCCCATGCCTCCCCGGGCTCTGCCTGGAGGTGACAGAGCTGGCTCCAGCACAGAGAGAGGGCGCAGGGAGACCCTGGGGGTCCCCATGGAAGAGGATGCATCAGCAGCGCCCCAGGTCTTCATAGAATCATAGAAGTCGGGTGGGAAGGGACCTTGCAGATCTTCAGGTCCGACCCCCTGCCTGGGCAGGAGGGAAACTGGGCTCAAATGACCCCAGCCAGGTAGGCATCACGCCGCTTCTTAAAGACCCCCAGGGTAGGAGCCAGCGCCACTTCCCTTGGAAGTCGGTTCCAGATCCTAGCCACCCTGACTGTGAAGTAGTTCCTAAGGATGTCTAATCTGAACCTGCTCTCCAACAACTTGTGGCCGTTATTCCTTGTTATCCCGGGGGGCGCTGGGGAAACAAGGTCTCCCCCAAACCATTCTGGTCCCCCCCTTGTGAGTTTATAGATGATCACCAGGTCCCCCCTCTGCCTTCTCTTGCGAAGGCTGAACAGGGTCAGGTCCCGTAACCTCTCGCTGTAGGACCTGCCCTGCTGTCCCCGGATCATGTGGGTGGCCCTGCTCTGGACCCTCTCCATGTTGTCCACATCCCTCTTGAAGTGGGGTGCCCAGAACTGGACACATTACTCCAGCTGCGGCCTGACCAGTGTCGCGTAGAGGGGGAGGATC